CCCCAAAACCCCAAAACCCCAAAACCCCAAAACCCCGCAACTTCACAAAAAAATTGAAACATCTCAAACTAGTTATAGATTAAGATTTCAAAATATTGAGAACGTTATGATTTCTTTGGAAGATTGAGAAAATTTTAGCATATAAAATCTGAGAGTAATTGCATGATATATTATAAGCATTACTCCCTAATTGCTTTAAAACTCCATTTTGCTTATTCACTCCAACTCTAATCATTCATCTTAATTTTTAAAGTTATGAAAGCTGAAGAATTAAGGCGAACATCAAACATTTTGTTATGAATAAGTCTGGTTGGCTTTACACAAACAGAGTTTACACTTTAAAATGATTTTTCAGATTCCTAGACATGTCTAAGAGCTAATTCCTTCTATTATTTTTAAAATCTTTCAAATTGTCTTTTATTTGTCAAATTTTAAACTTTTATATAAATTATTTTCCTTCATTCTGAACTTAACAGCTAGAAAGATCATATCTACTTAAATCCCCTCACAGTGGTAAGAAGGCAGAGTAATAATTCCTGACTTATCTACTAAAATAAACTTTTTGAAAGAGCTGAGTTGCAAGTCCTAGCATTGTCTGAGATAATTATGCTTTTTACTTTCAAAATTAAGCCATCTTTTTAAAAACAAGGTTGAGGAGCAACCTTAAGGTGCTGAAATTAGTAAAATCAGTCTTTCCTGCCTTCATACAATAGTGGTGCTGTACGTTTGATCTAATTTCGATTACTAGTGCCAGCTGGCTAGAAGAGTATTCCTTCAAAATTATTTTGTTATTGTTCAATGGGAGCCGGCTCTACCGTTTCATCAAGAAGAGCTAAAAGCTGCTTTTATCCATGTTGACATAACAACCCAGAAAAATAAACCAAATAAGTCGGTGGTAAACAAAGACTTTATAAGTTTCGAGTATTGTGATTGGCTCTTTTCATCCGGTTCACTCGTTTCTATATCTGTAGATGAACTTCCTCTTCAGAGTTTGATAATAGTTTACTCTACGATCTCATTTCAAGTTTCTTTCATATACTCTCTTAGTGATTCCTCAGAACATAGAAGGCTTGAGTTAGAACACTATCTTTCCTATCTGGTTTTCATCCTTAATCCAGATCCTTGCTCGCTTTCACAGTCAGAAATATTTTGGTGTTAGTGTTTTTATTTTCCTTTAGAGTAGATATTCAGCTTTGAATTTATTCACTGATAGTACCTTCTCTCTGAGATTATCTTAGTTGTCTCTAGAGTCATCCAGCAGAACCTCTACTGCTTTATCAGTTATAAGAGATTGTCACTTGTTATTGACTGGTTTCTAGTTTCTACAATCGTTATCGAGTCTCAATGCTTTTTGGAAGGTGTCTGAAAATATTCTGAAATTAATCTTCAGGAATATTAAGCTCTTGTTGAGGTTAAATAATTCAAAAAGATTCATTTTTGCTTGTTGCCCTGCTCCTCAGACTTTTCTGTTATCTATGAGGGAGTTTCTTTTCTTCTTAATATTCAGTTTATTTATGCTTGCGGATATTTGATATATCTTTGTTGGCTCTATTGATGCTCATGTGTTTAGAACTCTTCTAAGCTATCAAAGTAAATTGTTCAATCTAGGTAGTCAATATATGTAGTTTGAACTACATGGGCTAGAATATTTTACCTAATTTTGCACCATTTTCGAAAATTAGAATATTCAAATAGGCTCAATTCTTTTAACCAAAGAAATTAATACAAACTCATAAATTTCTAATCAATTTTCCGAAAACTTAAAAAATTATTTCCTACTAAGAAATAAAAGCTCCATTCTAGTAGTAATATTAAACAGACTAGACTAAGACTTTATTATTCAGCAAGAGATGATGAATCTCATTAATATTGGAGAAATTAGTATCTCGAAATACTAGCTCTATCAATCATTGACTTCAGAAAATTAATGATTCTTGCCACCGTAAAATGACTCAACAGTAAAGTTCATCAGTAAGATAATGACAGGAGACAAGTTATTCGTTCATAACAAAGATGTAGTAGTCAGGCATCTCCCTCAGTTCAAAGACCTTAATGTTCAAAGTATTCCTCATTTTTTTAATTGAGGTGGAAATAGATATTGGCTAAAAATATAAAAAGAAACAATTTTCCAGAGGCTGATTCATATCAATGTGTAGGACTCTAGATCATTCTCAATATTAGCAACATGTTGCAGCCAGAAACATTCGAAGCCTTTGTATAGTCTAGCTTGATTAGTAAGGAGTCGAAATGTAGAAGAAAAATAACTTAAAGCTGACTTTTCTCCTACTTTCTCAACTCTATTCAAAGCTACAGAAATATTATTTAGCAGTCCTTTAAATCTAGCTTGACCATTTAGCTAACCATGGGAGGAGCCACTTGATGCTAAATAGACAAAAGCAGCACTAAGCAGCGAAGAAAAGAAAGAAATAAAAGAAGAAAGATACTAGACCACAGAAGGCACGAGCAAAAGATAAAAGGGTTTCTATATAAGTTAAAAGAAATAGACACCCAACAAGAGGAGGAAAAATCCAATAGAAAATGTTGATAAAACCCTATAAAGACAAGATGATCAATCGGGGTGATGTCCCAATGTAGTTTTAATAAAGTTGAGTTAATAAAATACGCCAGAGCTTGAATATTAGACAGCTTCGGAGCATCTGTCAGAGTTTTATTTTCACTTTCCTCTATTTTTGGAAAGAGAAATTTTCTTTTGTTGTGAAAGAAGAGACTTATTGTTAATTCAAACAGATTTCGCATAAAGAATTGCTTATGGGATGCGAGGAGTCAACATATATTAGAATAGCTTTTGGAGTTGGAGCATTCAAAATTAGAAAGAATTAAATACAAATGTCTAAATGTCTGAGATCATAGCTGCACAATATTCCATCAAAATTTATAAGAAAGCATAAAGTAAATCAAGAAATAATAAAAAGTATTGGAATTGAGTAAATGCTAACTGATGTTAAAGGCTTCAACTGGATGAGAAACTTCACTTTAAACAATGGCTGAGCTAGTTTTAAAAATGTAAGGAAGGGACTTCTTCAGAAAGAGAGACGCTCCAAGAACATTCCTTATTATCTTTTTCAAGAACTAACTATTGCCTCAACTATTAATTTTTTAGTAAAGATTTGAAGTTTCCATACTACTCTTAAAGCAAAATATTAAATATCCTACTCACTGAAAGAGGCTTATAATGAATATTTAAAATACTTAATGTCAATAAGGCAATCTATCCTAAAACTAATAAGCTTTGTAAGATCTACAAGAGACTTTGCTAAAAGAGTTTATCCATAATATTTAATAGCTTTTACCCCAAATTAATAAGTCAAAACATTCTTGTATTTTATTACTAACCAAACTACCCAATTTATCTCCACCCTCATAAAACAACTATTTAATCTCTTATAAAACCACAATCTTGTACTGCTCAAAGAAATCCAACTACTTTACCTCAAAATATTAGCTACTAAAACGAGTCAATTTGGAATGCCTCAAACTTTGAAACGCAAAGTTAGTATTTGAATTTTCTCCTTAAATACAGAGATAATAAAATTAATTTCCTTGAAGATACCCAAATGGTTAGCCTAAGAAAACAACATGTTTGCTTTCTGATAAAGATTGTAAGAACCTCGGGTTTTGGTTTATAGAAAAGTATTTTAATCGTTAAATCAGTATTAGCAAATAAATTATGATAACATTTTAGGTAGATGCAATGCGCTTTATTACATCATTAATAAACTTTTGTTGATACAACCTGGTTGGATACTTTCAAAAGGAAGGTTATGAAGACTCGTTGTGATATAGAATCAGACTTTCTCATAAGGAGAGTCACACAAAATCATTTACAGACTCAAGGTAGTGATTTAAGATAAAACAAACCTTAAAATAAGAAATCTATTATTACTTAAAAGAAGCCTTTAAAATTTATAGAATTAAAAGGAGTAAGACAATAAAGCAAATATGATACATTTTATTAACATCTGCTTATCCATTTCTTATTAAAATTAAATCTTATCTCAAACTTTTAATTAGTTAATAATCAGTTTTAAATTTTTAAGTATTATAATAACCATTTTAAACCTCTTAAAGGTTTGCATCCATAACAAATTCCATCTGTTGAGTCTTGAGGATGGATCAATAATTTCAAAAAGCTTTACTTTCCTTGCCCATGTTAAACATCAAATGCATAATATTATATTCGCATTTTATCTTAATAAATTCAATTTTTATCAAACAGATGTTGGTAAAGTTAATGTCATCTATAAATATTTTTAATGGGCTTCAAAATAATTCTTTGCAATAAGTTACACCAATTCATCTTGAATTAATAATCTTTAATGCTTTAATAGATTCTCTATTCTACAATCATCCACTATGAATTATTAATCGAGATGAAACTAGCTTATATTTTTAAAGACGAGACTTTCTAATTTTCTAAATTTTTATTCAGCATAAAAATGGAGTTAGACACTCCAAACATTTTAGATCAGAATAGAACTAAATTCAATAGCTATTCCAACCAGATAGCTTTATATTCTGTCTAAAATGATAGGGCAGATAATTTAGTAGTCACTATCCACATTATCCCCTGGAGCTTCAACACGATTATCATCAAGAGCTCCATCCCTCTCTGAAGAGTAATCCTCCTCATTGTTCTGAGCTGTTTCTATGGATTCTTCATCTTCGTAATTGTCTTTTCTTTCTTCGACACTGTCTTCATCATCGCTCTCTTGTTCCATATATTTTTCAATCCATTTTTCGAAAACATCTGTGGTCTTGCCATCAATGTTTCAAAGAATAATTTCTTTTCCTTCAAATTCTCCCTGATTGTTATCAATCTTACTTTTAATGGTTTTTGCACAGATCTCGACACATTTCTTAATTGGGAATCCAAATAGTCCTGTTGAAATAGCTGGAATAGATATATCATAAAAGTCTCTGTCAATCATTATTGTTAATATCGACTCAAAGCACTTTTTCAATTGCTCAAATTCTCTTGCATGATTCTTCCTATTCTTTTCATATATCGGGCCAGCAGTATGAATAACATAGTCACATTTAAGTTCTCCACCAGCTGATGTAACCATAGAGCTTCCTGTTTTCAATTTATAGTTTTCTAAAATATAATCTTCACATTCTCTCTCAAATTCAGGCCCAGCTTTAGAGGCAATAGCTCTTGGTGCTCCTCCAGCATGAATGAGATCTTCATTGGCTGGATTAACAATAGCATCTCTATAGAAATAGTTAGATAATGTTGACAATTCAAATTCCTTATCCTTACACATATTCTTGTACAAGATCATTCTTTCTCACAGTTATTCTTGTGCTCCGATACATAAATGTATAAACATCAGTTGCTTCAGCTTTCTCGGCCTTCTTTTTCCTCAAGGGTCTTGACTTTTCTTTAATTAACCTTTCAAGATATTCCTTCTTATCTCTAAGATGCTTAATATCTTGTTCATAATCCCCAACTTGTTTAAGAGCTTGGCTGTATTTGGTTTCTTGTTCTGAAAACTGTAAAAAGGTTGACTTTCAAAATTTCAAAGCAATGATTTTTATTTAAGATGAAAAATTCGTGTTTTGTAAATTTGTAGAAGCTTCAAATCTTTTAGATCTGTTTTTATTTGGTATCTTTAATAAGTTGATTACATAGAATTAGACATTTTTTGCTAAATCTCAGCAACTCTTTCCTTATCCATTTCTTATTATTCCTTTTATTAACCCAAAAGTTAGCTCTCCTGGACAAGGTAAGGATTATAAACGGGGAGAAATAAGCATTTTCCAATCAAGCATATTGAGTAGTCTTTTAGTTTTCTTAGGTGTGTGAGAAGAGTAATTGCATAAAATAAAGATCATACCCTCAGGTTATTCAATTGAATATGATCGGATTATTATTAACTCAGACTTTGATAAAGCCAATCTCTGCTGCTAACTCCAAGTAACTGAACTAAGAGAAGATATATTTATGTGATAAGAATTTTGATCAAGCTGGTTAGATTTCATACTGTTCTCATCAGAATTTACTTAAACAATTCTTATCGGTTTATTAAATTTAACATGTTCTTCATCAAACATTTTGAAGTTGAAATTTTGACTGCAAGAAAAATGAAAGAGATATAAACTTGTAATAATGAACAAAAGATTAAATGGTATGGCTATTAACACTTTAAGGATCTCTAAATTAGGTTCCATTACTAAAATAAGAAAATTTCTATCATATTATTAAATCAAAAGTGCTAATATTTTATAGCTGATAACTTCTAGCATCACATTTTAATTAAAAGAAAAAAATTTCAATAAAAATTGAGCATAACTGTTTATAAGTTCTATCATTTAGTCAGATCTGAGAAAATTCTAACATTTAGTGACATATTTTTCATGCTTATTATATCAAAAAAACACAATAAAAAGACTAAAAAGGGTGCTGATACTGGTTCTCATCTTTATCTATCTCTCTCCAATGAAAACGAATAAAACCAGAATAAAACCCCTTGATTATTATTAAGCCAAAATATTTCAGCTTCAATGTACCTATGCCTCATTGATTTTATATCGGAGAATTTACAAAGCCGAAATCAATAGTGAAAGATTTTAAGACTCTGCAAAATTAAAATATTCTCAAAATCTATGAAAATGCACGAAACTAAAATGAGCCAGTTTAAAAGTTTATGTACTTACCTTTTTAATATCATCGGAACAGCTAGCATAAGTTTCAAGGTTATTTTGAGTGATGCTATATAATGAGAAGACATATTTTCTACCTGATTAGTATTCTTAATTCATTATTTTCCTTGATCAAACCTTTTTGTCTTTCTTTGTCATCTTCTAGTTTCTGTAGCATTTCATTCAAATTTTCTGAAACTTTTTTAAATCTTGGCAATATTTTATTTTTGATTATCTCTGCATTCTTCTTCTGTTTAGAAATTAGCTCCTTATTAAGGTTCATAAATACCTTTATTCTGTGATGGAATTTTTCTACAGCATCTTTTACATTGCTTTCATATTTTTCCTTCACTTCTTCGAATTCTACCCTTAATAAAATAATTTAGCATTTATACTATGATTGCAAAACAGTCTAAAAATATAAAATAAAACAGATCTTTAATGTTTCTAGAGTAAGATCCGGAGTGTTCATCTGTTAATTTAAATTACCTTGCCATAATAGGTTTAGCTAAAAGTTCTAACACTTTTGCACTGTCATCTGGTAAGTCCTTTTTAATTTTACTGTTTCAACTTGGACATCTAAATTATTTCAGGATTTTTCTTCATGGTCATATTTCTATATAAAAAGAATAAGATATGTTTAAAAAATATAAATATGAAGAAGATATTTATATTTAAACAATAAAAATAGTTTGAAATAACTGAAGCTTGAGAAGATCAAGTAAGGTGATAGAATTTCCCAAAAATATGCTCAGGGTTAGGTTTACTTCATCTTTAAATCTATCATGAATGCTTGAATTCGTTTTTGAAGGGCTAGGTCTTTCTTTGCATTAAAATTTCAATCAATCAAATCTTTCAATCTAAATATTATCGAAAGCTCATGATTGTACTTACATTTCTGATAATTTTTGTAATTGAACATTTTTATAACTAAAGGATCTCTTTTCCTTAGCCCTATTTAACAAGTTTTAAAACATTACAATCAAGGGTATACCTTCTCTCAGCTATAAATCCATGTTTTTGCATTATTTGCTTAAAATTTTCAGGTTCTTTCAGTGTTTCTAGTTCTTCTTCCATAGAATTACACACTGTAAGATCTAATTCTGATTTAACATTCTAAACCGAACTAGTTAGATCATGATTGAAACTAGCGTGTATTCGTAGATAAATGGATTAAGGAATGTAACTATTTTTTATTTATATCTACAAAGAATTTGACAGTCATTAAATCCAGAATCGAAATTAAAATTTGGTTTTACTGTAAATCTTTGCTATTTGATTTATTGGAAGTTGGGTTTTAAATAAGTCATTAAAATAATTTCCTTGAAATAATTTTATACTAGATTTACAAGAGTGTATTCAATTAATAAAAAGCTTTTAACAAACAATAAGAGTAAAATAATTTTATATACCTTAATAATTTCTTTAGTTTCTTCTTTTCTCTGATCAATATTCTAAATTATACACATTAGATTGAAATCTGCAAGAAGATATTAGTTTAGAATTGAGCAAAATAAGACCAAAGTTCGCTCGGGTATTCAGTGCCAATGGAATCTGTTTTGTATTTATCAATATAACAACACAATTTTTTACTCAAAACTATTTATTATTTAAAGAAAACTGCACCATTAAAGTGTTATCTCAGTAACAATCTTCTGAATAACAAATAAAAATTGGGCTTTGAATTCAAAATTAGTTTAGAAAACTCCCATATAAGTTTCTATACAAGCGAGCAAGAGAAGTATCAACTAATTAAAAGAGGGTATTAAAAATATGACAAGAGGAAGAACTATATTCTATCAAAATAAAACTATAACACTTCAGCAAGTGTCAAGTAACATTAAATATTTATGCTTTAATTTACCTCTAAGAGTTGTTCTTTTAAATTTAATGCAATACGCTTTAATTCAGTTTCTGCTTTTTTCAGCTGAAAATCAGCTTCTCTGTCATTATGTTCATATCTACCATGGATATCTTCAATCATTTCATTTAGACCTCCATCTACTTTGGCAGTTAGGCTAATTTTTGTAGAAAAACCAAGAACTATATTACCAAAGAAACAAATATTAAATCTACCAGAAAAATTCCTTTGAAATGTGTTCTGTATGGCTAAAGAAAATAAAAACATACAGAAATTTTAGGCAATATGATTATCAAGGAAAGAAATTTGGGTACAGAGAGAAATTGATACTATTAAAGAGTATTTTTGTAGCTAGCCAGCATTATGCAAAATTGTTACATTTACCTGCAGTCTCCTTGAGTTTTCTGACACTACAATCTGCATTTTCCAAGACATCTGAAAATATTTTGAGCTATATGAATTAAAAATTAACACTCAGGACTATTAGAGAGTTTTTCTAAAGATGACATAAAAAGTTTTACAACAGCATAATATTAAGTTTAAATGAAGAATAGTAAGAGAAATTTTTTCTTAATTCTCTAGATTCATGTAAACCTCCCTATTTTTTATAAATCTAAAGTTTTAAAGTTTATAAGCAACACTAAATATTAAAAATTCAGCTGCTACTTAAAAAGCAGCTTTAATAAGTTATTTACCTCTTCTTCTTCATCTAGTTTCCTAAACTCAGTTGGGTATTTCTCTATAAAATGTATAAAATATGTTAAAATATCAAATAAATTCTAGGAATAGGTTGTTATTCAGAGCACTCTTGAGAATTCAGGTCAACAAGAATATTAAAACTTTCGAAAGCAGCATTTAAAATATTTTACTTTATTAAAGAACTTAAAAATAGATTTCGTTTGATAAGCCTTGTTGAACATAAAAATATAAATAACATTTGGATTACATAGCAGTATTAACTGCTTAAGTCAACATCATTTGAATGATTTTCGATCCTGGGAATAGAACAAATTTATTACCAAAGTATAATTAACTCTGACAATTTTCATAATTAATAGTTACAACCTACACAAGCAATGAAGAAATAATCGATGTTTGATAACTTTGATAAAAATGAAACCTCTGATTTAATCCAAGCGTCAATTGTTATTGCTATCAAAGTGAATATGAAATTTATCTAGAACTTCACTACCAGCAAAGGAAAATAACTTATACAGCTATTTCCAGTTTTCAGAAACTTGTTCAAACACAAACACCACCACTTACTTTTTATCCCATCTACCTCATGTTTAAGCTCTAAAATTATTAAATAAAAAAAACAATACCCTCCTTTCTTTTTTTTGCCTCATATAATGCATCTTTGAGCTCATCAGACTTGAAGCCATTCAAAGTAAAATTGCCAAGGAATTCCTGGTATGATTCCTAATAAAGCTTGAATGTAAACTTACTAATCACTTTTGGTACTCTTTAATAGCTTTATTTTTGCTTCTTTTCCCAGATTATGTGTCTTGTGAGTGATCTGGGAATATCATCTTCTGTCAGATTCATATTCTTCATATCTTCGATTCCTATAGAAAATGCTGATTGATCCTAGCTTCAGAGGGAGCTTTTTTATTCTCAATGTAGAGGTTTAAGTTCTATTGGGCAAAATCATAGGAAGGAGATATTTAAAGAAGAATTTCATTCTAGCTTAGGTTTTAAGTTTAAAGGAATCTTCAAATTTCATTTCAGAATTTAGCAACGCGAGAGCACAGAATTAAATCATAATTTCATTTCGAGTTTTAAATTGAGCTTATAGAGTAATTTTAAGAGAGTCTTTAGAAGATGAGTTAAATATGAAAAATATACAGGCATACTCCTACTTATATCCTCATCATTTATTCTGAAATATATTGAAAGCAGTTTTCGTTAAAATTAAACAGGATGAATAAGCAAACCAGCAAACTAAAACATTAGGTCGTCTTTGAAAGCTGCTCTGACAAGAAAAACTAAATATCCACAAAAGATTGAGTATAGAGTACAAAACCGGGAAAGGAAACAAGGTTTAACAACAAAACCTATAATAGCTATCTTCTTTTGAAATAACCATTAAAGGCTCTTTGGAATAGAGTAAAAATCTAATGAAAGTCTAATTCTGATATTGATCCATTTGAAAACGAAGGATATACAGGGAATCCAAAAAATTTATTAAACTCAGGAAACTCATCTCACAACAGATTTTGAATAAAAAGAAAGCTATAAGTTTATGATAATTCTTGGGACTTTATCCTGAAAACAATCACTTATCTTAAAAAACTCATTTTGATATTTCCAAAGACCTGATCGAAATATTGTTAAAACAACTACACCAGCTTACTATTCCAAGTCTAGCAGAAAAACAATAGATGCAAAAATTGTTTCAAAAATGGCTTTTTGTGCTAAGAAGTCAGTTAATTTAATTAGGAAAATTTCAGCTGCATAAAGACTTGGTGGTCACTCCACTTTGCTAATGATTACTATCTTAAAGTAGGAATAACTTATGACAATAAAGAAGAGATCTCTTAACTAAAATACAATCGAAAATCTTTTAACTAAGATAGCCTCTTTCAACTTGAATAAAACTATTTAAATTCTCTGTTAGTTTTGCTCGGTTAGTCACTTACTCCATCCATTTCTTTCTCAAATGTTTTTCATAGCTTTGGCCAAATCTATAAAATTTTGACTGTGAATCTTTAATTAAAAATACTTTTAAGGGTCACTCCTTCTTTATTTTGCAGCAAAAAGGAGTCAAGCCTTCTATTAAGGAGAATTTTTGCCCCTAATTTAAGAGGTAGAAAGTTTAGACTAACCTTGGGGATTACTGAAGTCCTTTTCCAACTCTTTCTTCAAATCCATTTATTCAGCTTTTTATTAATATAAAAAGATTGTTAAATTTCTCAATTATATTCGGTGAAAAGGGGTTTTGGGGTTTTGGGGTTTTGGGGTTTTGGGG